AAGTAGCTTACATTTTAGACACAATATTGCTTGTTTTTGCTCAATTTTGCTAATGAAAATAGTTCCAAACAAAGATCACAGCACTGTTTTGCATCTCTGAGCAATGGACGGTGTTTACTTATTGAATGAATCACCTTTTTGAACAAATCGGTTGAATAAATGATTCACTCATTAACACAGTCAAATGCTTTGTTTCTGAATGAATCAGTCGTTTGAATGAATCGGTTGAATCTCAATGACTCACTCATTAACAGTCACTTGCTGTCACCTATTGGCGGATTTAATTTCACATTCCGACTATTTTTTTCATGTTTTAAATTATTTCAAATACCAGTATTCAACGTTTTATGTTAAAAACAAAACATTAGGCCTATTTATGCATCTCTATCTGCAGTTCAAATGCATACGTGTCCCCTCTGAGATACATAAACTGTGTAAATACATCTAAATGCTATTTCAGATGCAGATTCCAGAAATGTTTTCTTATGTTGGAATGAAAGACACTAAGTACCGGATGAAGTGCTGAAGATGAAGATTCTTATCCAAAAATACAAAATCGAAGAAAGAGTTAAAACTGAACACAATCTTGCTACTCAAGCTGTGTATGAAAATTTTTATATATATATATATATTTATTTGCTTCTTTTCCATTTTGCATTTACTTGTACTTTTACTTTCAATACTTAAGTATGTTTAAGATTTAAATACTTTTCGTACTTAAGTACAATAAATATAACAAACTTTAAGACTTTCACTCAAGTAATGTTCTAAACGGTGACTTCAACTTCTACCAAAGTAATTTTCTGGTAAGATATCTGTACTTTTCCTTGAGTATGGCTTTCAGTTACTTTATACACCACTGGCTGCGACAGTTGAGAGCATGAAGTGTTCAACATTCCACACTTAATTTTTTCGGGTATTGAAGTGCATCATCCGGGTATTTAAAGTGCACTTTTTCTTTTTGGAAGTTTCAGTGTGAAAGCACTACTTGCACTATTTATACTACAAAACGCCATAGAATAGTGCATAAGTACGCGATTTGGGATCAGTATTGTATCTGGTCGGTATTGAAAAGTCCATTTTGAATTTTACGCAAAATGCGATATCCGCTGAGTTATTCTGTCATGTTTTCTCCTTTCCTTTCCAAATCGCGACAAACGCCAGTCTCCCTTCTCTGCAGAATGCGATATATCCGCTCAACCAATCACAGCACACCATTCCACACACTGTAGACAGTAATGGCGGCGCTTTGAATAGACCCGGCATCCTAGTTTTCCTCATCTACTTTGTACTTTGATATCAACAAACAAACTTAGGGCTGCACAATAAATCGCATGTGATTGTCATGCGCATCTCGTCATTAAAGCCGGTTCTGTGATTAATAGTAAATCTCCATCACGTGCTTTCAGATGGAGCGGCATTTAATACACAGAGACATAGATCACTGCAATATTGCGTTCATAATCGCAGATGAGTCGCATTCGATTATGAACGCAATATTGCGTAGCTTGTCAGTCTAAATGTTTTTATTTATGCCATTAATGTTTTTGTTAATACAGCGTATAGCACTAGTCAACTAAATGAATGTAAAAGATGAATGCATGGCATTCATTGCAAAGATGAATGCACTTTTGGAAGTTGAATGTAAGGGAAATGTAATTTTGAAATTTTTTTGGGTCTAATGTGATATTGTTGTTCATGTTCTTGTTCATGATGAAATTTTCTTTTATTGTTGTAATTAATTTATAGCATTAACAAGATGACCCGTTTAATTCATTTTTGGAGCTATGACTGATTGAATGTATTTTTAGTGAAGTGCCTGCATATAAGATTAGTATTGACCAAGTTCAGAGGCTGTCATATGTGGATCATCTTACTTTGTTGTGTATTTTCAACAGTTTCAATATGAAAAAAAAAAAACTTTTCTATTGATTCAATGGATTTATTGCATTTTGAAAAAAAAAAAAAGTGTCATGGATTTATTGCATTTTGGGGGAAAAAACATACAATTTTATAATAAATCTTTCAAAATCAAAATTTGAATTAGATTTTTTTAATGTTATTATAACCTAATGATGCTATGTGAACGTTTGAAACAGAAAATAGTGGTTTTCATCTTGCCACTTTCTTGGTAAAGAAAATGCATTTTTACTCAAATTAATCTAAATGGATTTATAGCGTTTTGGAACCAAACTCTTCAAATCTATCTACACTTTTGAACTTCAAGTTTTTAAAACTGCTTCAAAATTTCAGTCAAGGCTTTTTCAAGCCAACTTCAAAGTTTGTTTGCGAACTTTACTCATCTAGTTTTAAATTGTAATAATATTTCATATTACTGTATTTACAGTGTTTTTAATCAAATGCAATCTTGGGTGAGCATAAGAAATGTATTTCTAAAACATTTAATCTTTCCCACCCCAAAATTCTAAACAGTAGTGTTTAGAAATCAGACGTCCTTCAACTGAACATGCTGCATCAGGCGTTTATACTGTATATACACAGTCTATCTAGTTTTGTCCAGTCAACTGTTCTTTTGGATCAGTCTTGCTAAGTTGGGTTCTTTGACAACTTTGTGTCCTCACTTTATGGATTCCTGCTGCAAGACTTTTTAGGCGCTGCTGCTTCTTTCAGCTGTGAAAATGCATGGAGCGTTTCCAGATCGGCCATCGGCTCCTTGTCAGTGGAAGAGGGTTAGCAAGGCTAGTCAAGAAAAGAATATGCATATAGGCTCTCTTTTGAAAACCAGCTTTGTGAGCTGTCTTTTCTATGGGTCTTTTGCATCACAATGAAATATGAAGTTATTTGAAGAGTCCTGAGTGCTTTGAACTTTCTAAAAATATTGGATGGTATGGAATGTGACAATAGGCCTTTATGCAATAATTTAAAATATTTACATTCAAACTACCAAATCTTTATTGATGGAACATCAATTTACAGGTTGAATATAAATATTTTTAATACATTTTTCATTACATTGCATTAAAATCTAAAATGCAACGAAAGCAACAAAAACATCATACATCACTGTAGGTGATTGACTCGTTTTTTCTCGCACGTCAGAAAGTGTCTGTGATGGCTCTTGCGTGCACACTCGAGTTTACCCCCCCCAGACATTCATAAGTCTGTCATGAATATTACAAACCGCCGTGTGGTGCAACACGTCATATCCCAAAAGAAGAGCCCAAAGGACCCTGCGATTCTCCTCAGGGGCCGCCTTCCGTCTTGGCAAGGGCACACCTAATCTGAAGTTGGTGCATTGCTTTGAATCAGACATCTTCAAACTGCAAACCGATGCAGGCGATCTGCCAAAGCCCTGGACAAGTTGTTACATTATGCAATATTTAGGCGGTGGATCCTTTGAGACGCACGCAGCTGCTTAAGGGACGTCCAAAATAATAGCCAATCCACACGGCGGAGTGGCTCTAAATGAATACTTGTGGCCGGACGTGGAGGTAATCTAGCAAATGGAATGGAAAATCAGATTCACAATTAAGAGACTCATCTTTCCCGTGGCTTCTGGCCAGAGCGAGTGGAGGAAGTGCCGGCTGTGTCATCTCGCCACCACTGGAGCCCATAAATTGGACGCTTACAAAAACATGTCGGTCAGGCTAGGGATTGATCTTGACGTGGTGGGCGTGCAAGCAGGGAAAATGAAGAGTTGATCCCCCGCGAGGCGGCTATAACGAAGACAAATAATGCTCGGTTAGGGGCCGCCGGAGGAGTTAAATCGCTCCTTGGAGAGCATCTGAGCTTGAGCTTTTTCTATCATCCGTGTAATCAAGCACTAGCGATTAAATCACTTTCACAGGGACGTTTGTGCGGTATGAATGGCTCATCCATCTCTCACACTCCTCGAGACGTGTCTGCCGTGCATGTGTGGGCGGCCACACGTGTGTCCGTGAGTGTTTGATCTGCTGTGCTGTACGGATGAGTTTATTTCAAAATCGCAGTGGCAAGATTTGCTCGAAGTTTCTTCCAGATCTGGCTTTGTCTATATTTAAACCCCTCGCTTTCCTTTCTTTTTCTGTCTGCGTGCAACAAGAGCAATTACACACGTTAAAAGAGGCCTTGACAAACTTGTTGCGTGTCTAGCGTGCTTCTACTAAAGCACTGAAACCAATTGACATTCCCATGGGGTTGACAGTGAGAGCACTTACTGTGCATGACAATAACTTTTATAGCTCACGGTGTGTTTGCTTCAGTTCTGTGCTTTGATGTTTCGTATTCCCTTCACATAAGAACATCGTAATTATATGGCGGGGCACCGAAAGCAGCTTAGAAGATCAAATATGGAAATTTCACAATATAATAAGATAATATGACTGATGTTCCGGTTTAAGTTGATTTTAAATGATTTGTGCTTAAAGTCAACCGTTTAAGTTGCTGCTCATATTAAACACTTCTTTTATTTTAACCATCTGGCTCTATAGAGCACAACAGTCAGGTTCTGGAATTGAAAATCCCATTCATTTTTTTTATTTTTTTTTTAAAGATATCTTCTAAATTGTTAAAGACAGACCTATTGAAAGCTACGAGGTTGTTAATCGATGTTTTTGTTGAAGCCGTCAGCCCACTCAACCTTTTTTTTAAATTGTCTTTAACAGTGGAATTCTTGCTGAAAAACTGCATTACCCATGATTCTCCAAAAATCTCCACCAATCAGCGAATCGTAATAAAAGCTCCGCCCTCTCCTATGAAGCACTGTGAATTAAACGGTCTCAATTCAGGGCGGTTAAACAAATGTTTTGTTTCACTCAGAAAAACGTCACATTACAGAAGTAAAATGGGCATTGTTAATAGATCTTAATTATTGTTCAGTAAGTCAACAAGATTACTTACGAGAATCTTTGTCAACAGTTTTTCGATTTTGTTAAAGATAATGAAGATGAGGCATGATTCATGATTTTATTTTAAACATACCGCTGATGAAAGTATAAGAAAAAAATTACACTGCAAGCTATTATCACTGTTGTTGTTGTTGTTTTTTTTAGAAAAAGAAGTAAAAATCAAAAACACAATATGGATTAAGTGCTTTATTGTGCAATTACATATAAATCAATATTGTGCTCTATGATTTAGCATCAATAACAGATTAGAAATATATTCACTGGCTAACGTAGTGCTTTTCTAAACATATTGTCACAAAATGCGACTGCATAAATGTTATATTAGCTGCAGCTTATAATTTGCGACAAAGTTAACAAACACAGGTGAACATAAACACAACAATTAACAATAAGCAGTCTGTAAATAACATGCAGTACCACCTAATGTAATAATGTAAGTAATATAGTAGGCAAGTATACAGTGAATATTTGTTACTTGTTAATGATGATATTGTATAATGATGTTGTTTCTGGAATATTGTATATGTTAGCATTTAATGTTTATAATTTTTTTTAAACTGTCTGGTTGCAGTTTGGCTTATTATAGTTTTAACACATTTTTACTGACCATATTATTGTTATTAACTAAAACGATGTGGCATAACGAGAGCCATTAAACTAATTTGACATGTTCAAAGAGGCTTTGACAAACTTCAGCGTCCAACATGTTACATTTTCCTAAAAACAACAGAGATTCACATGGAGTTGAAAGGAAGAGTGGCACTTGTGCTTGACAAAAAAACTTCACGTAGCTCATTGTGTGTTTGCTTCACTTCTCTGCTTTGATGTTTCATATTCACGTCACATAACATTTAGTTACAATTATATGAGGCACCAAAAGCAAATTAGAAAATCAAATATGGAAATTTCCCAAGTCAGCTTCATTATTAAGTAAAAGACACAAGAAGTGATTATACTGTAATGATGCTTGATTTTAGAATACTGATACTTAAACTCAACGACGGACGGATTTTACTTTATTAATTCACATTTACTTTGCATGCACGAGTTAAAAAAATGTCTGGGTAAACTTTCTGCACAAACTTGCTGTGCATCTGAAATGCTTCTTTCCTTTTTGGCTGACATCTCCAAGCCCTCTTATTTCTTAACACCTTCCCACCAACCATCTGGCTCTATTCTGGTATGCAACTTTCCATTATCCAATCAAATCCCACTCTGTTTTTTCTTTGAAAATGCTGTTTCATTGAGAAATGCGTTGTAAGTAAATACATGTTACGTAAGTAAAATAGGTCAAGTTGACCTGAATCTGTAAATTACTGTTATTTTAGTTGTGTATTTTAAGGTACACTGGCTAAATCCATTGAAATCCCAATTCTGGTTTGGCCAACAGGTAGGCCGTCACCAGAGCAGCTGCTGTCATTACCACACCGAAGAGATAATAACACTTGGACGACTTGCACTTTGAACCCTTTCTTGGGTCACTGTGTTTCAGGGAAGCTCGCACTGCTTCCAGTTCCTCCCTGGACAGAGAAGAAGGGAACATCTGAGCCAGGACCTCCATAGCCGTCCGCTGACCGGCCTGAATTGCCCCATCAATGTATCCACACCATTGGGTAGCCGTCTCTGTGCCTGCCCAATGAATCCTGACAAAAGAGATGGACAATTAAGAGACAAGACAATTACAAAATGAATCACTAATCATCATTAATCACAATTACAACTTCCTATATACTTTAAAACCACTATGACTGAGTATCAAGACCCGGGATGTGGAAAATGTCAAGGTGACTGGTAAAATAAAGACTTCATGGTTGATGCCTATCAAAATGAATAATGGCTATATTAGTTTGTGCTAATAGCATTCATGAATCTTTAGGTACGTATGCCATTGAACACTCAAAAGACCTTAGACTAAACTATAGTATCTACTACAAAATAAATAAACTATATATATATATATATATATATATATATATATATATATATATATATATATATATATTAATGCAATATTTAGGCTGTATAGTAATCTCTTTTAAGATTTCTGAAACGGACACGGGACTAGAAATATGACAATGAGTTGTGAAACGCTTTACCTAAGATAAAGCATTAAACATCACATTTTAAAATATATTCAAATAGAAAACGGTTATTTTAAATTGTAAAAATATTACTATATTTCCTGTATTTTTGATCAAATAAATGCAGCCTTGGTGAGCATAAAAGAGAATCTTTAAAAAACATTAAAAATGTAACTGAACCCAAACTTTTGAACAATAATTAAATATTTTATTAATAAATTAAAAATGTATATAATTTTACAATTAATTAAAATTATTACTTTACATTATTCAAAGTAATAATTAAAACATAAGTGTAGTAAAATGAATAGCAAAATGTATACTGTAGTTAAAACCGCAAGATTAATCATTTACATTTATGCATTTAGCAGACACTTTTATCCAAAGCGACTTATAAAAGAAAAACAAAAACAAAAGATATTTACTAAACAATTAAATAGCTAGTCCTATTGACTCAATAGCGTGGTTAATTTATGCACATATAAAACAGATCAGAAAACCTCCAGAAGACAATGCACACATTCATGTCTGCTGTGAATTTAACAGAAATAACTTTTAATTGGGTTCTCAAAAATGCTTATCGCTGCATTCAGCAACATATTTCCCATGCAAGACTGTTTCCCATCCACCACGCAGTTTAGTCTTCATGCATTATGGATGCGTGGACTTAGTTGTTCACAAAACCCTGAGGGATATCCTTTACCCACAGTGCTTTTCACCTATGCTCTTTGTCAGTGTGAATCACTAAGACATAAAAGCGGTTTGTTTTCTATTCCACCATCTATGGCAGGCGAGATATGCTCTTCTAACTTTGGAAGTACTGCATCAAAAGAAGCCAGCATACTATCTTAGAGTCTAATCCTACAGTTTTTAAACTTTTCAGGCCAAGTATCACCTTAAAACAAAATCAGAACATCCAAGTACCACCTTTTCATAACATTGCCCCCTCCAGGGTTATTATAGTTAACTAAAACTCAAATCATAAAAAGGATTTGTTACTTGAAATAAAGTAGTAACTAAAACTAAAATTGAACAGAAGACAGATACAGTTTCACCAGCTGAGAAAGATGTATTTCTTCATAAAATGTGTTCATAGAACAGAACTCACTAATTAAACACACTAAATTAACATGTTAAATTGACAGCCCTAATTTTAAAGTATTATAATTTTACAGAACCTTTTTATGTATTACAATGTACTACAGAACTCTCTCGAGACGTCTTGACTGGTCCACCAGAACAGAGTTCTGAAGCATCCCAGTCATTAATTCATGCTTTAGTCCTTTTAATTATTCACATCTAATAGAAATCATTTACATTTTCAGAAGCTACAGTGAGGAAGAATGGATGGAGATTTAATGCATGAAAGAGTCTTGTAGCATCCCAAAGATCAAGAGCTTCAAGATCTCGTCTGTTTCCAAGTGGGTCAAGGACAGATTACAGCCCTCCTTCAGGAAAAGGCTCATCGCCCGCACAGGTACCAGACAAAATGGGAAGTCTGTACATGCCTTTATATGATGAACTCATTCCTCTCCCTGTGGATTTAATTCTATTATGGAAATTTCCCCATGCACTCCAGCCACCGCACACTCTCGCTTTCTCTCTTGCACGCTCTTTCTGTACGTTCTCCTTGGACGAGCATTAGTTCAGCCCAGTCAATCGCTTAACCGGGCCATTTCAAATAGCTTTTGAGATGTTTTCCCCCGAGAGCGCTGTCCTTTTGACATCTAGTCATGCATAGCATGAGTTTTACGACTACAGATGGCTGGAGAAACGAACCTCAACAACCTTCCATGGAATGTGCTGGTTTGATGTGTGTGTCTCCATCATGTAGGTGGGTCTGTTGTGAGACAGATCCTACATACTACTCTCACTTTTATCTTTATCTACAGGTAATGTCTGCTGAAGTCAAGGAGATCTGTGATGAAAGCAATAGTTTACCCCAAAATTAACAATTTTTCATGTCATTCCAAACTTGTATGCTATTATATGTTATATTTAAGGGTGCAATGATTTCTAGTTTTCTCGATGCATCGATTACAAACCCTGATGATGCATATGCATCGATCTTGAAACATGGATTTTTGAATCGTGAATCGTCGATTTCGGACAGTAATCGATATAAAACGCTAAGAATCGAATGAATCGCGATTTCTATAGCGATTCAATGCTTTCAAAATATATACACATTAAATTACTACAAGCACAAATTAATGGAGACCTTGAACAGTGTTCGTGCCCTCGCATCTCTCCTTCACGCGCTACACTATTTACCGCCTGTGACTGTCACAGGATTGCGCTCGCACTCCGTTCGTCTCACTGACACATTTTTTGAGCAGCTGATGTGTGATCTCTCCTTAATACTCGTGGCCTGTAATGCTAAAGTGAAGTAGTTTTAGTTTTTCAATGGCTCTCGGTCATGCCGACGTCATTACCTGAGTAGTCGAAGGCTGCACATTTATTGCATGGATGGAGCAAAAATTTAAGTGTCTAAAGCATACGCACAGTTCCACTGAATGACACGTGTTTTAACAATGTCCTTCAACCGAATGTACGAAGGAAACTGTTAAAATAACCACAGCATTAACAACAAACTTGAAATAAGAGCGCAAGGTTTATCTGTTAATCAGATGCATGAAAGTAGCATTCGTTGCTATAGCAAACAGACATCGGCACGTTTTCTTTCAGAATCATCATTCGCCGATGGAGAGGAAAAGTTAAATACTATATCATTATATTTTAAGAAAATGAGATAAAGAAGTTTTTCGCACTGAAAGAGAAGTGATCTCGCGCTTATAGAACTTGAGACGTGCCAGGCTATATCTGCAGCTAATCTGAATAAAAAGCAGAATGAACTGATGAAAGGTTAAGACAATAAACACAATAAATTAATAAAATTTATGAATGATGCCGTGTTAATTGACATATCATTTATTACAGTACAGAAACTATGACATATATTTTCTACCTTATTCTGTGCAGAAAATTGATTGTTTGTAGTATATAAAACAATCATAAAATTGCCATTAGGAAAAAAATATAGATTACAAATGATTGATTATTGTCCAGCAGTGTATTTGATTTCTTATAGCAAATTCAAAGTAAGAGATAAGAAAAGAATCCCTTGTAATAATAATAATACATATATACATAAAATTATTGTATTTGACATTTCTGTAACTTCTGAAATGATGGACACGCCCCTGGTGTAACAAAATGTTAGCCTATACATAATACTTTTAAAGCTCTTGGCTTACATACATTTCTACATATGCCATGTCATGCTATAGCATCATTAAACTAGCATCCAACAATGCACAAAAGTGTTTGTTTTTTTGGTAACCTATGATACATTATCCTTTCACATACATACATTTCTACTCTCTCTCACACACATACATTCTCCTTTCACATACATACATTAGTACTCTCACACATACATTCTCCTTTCACATACATGCATTTCTACTGTCACACACATACATTATCCTTTCACATACATACATTTCTACCTTTTTTTTGGTATCCATTACTTCCTGTTTAAGCAGGAAGTCACTATCAGACCAGGAAATACATGTGCAAGACTTGCTCAGTGGGGAAGCATTTAAATAATCCTGTGAATGCACTTAAAGAATGCAGAATCAAATTGTTAATCGAAACAAATCAAATTTATTTGTGAATCGAATCGAATTGAATCGTTCTGAATTTGCAAAAATCGTTTTTGAATCGAATCGAAAACCTATAAATCGTGAATTGAAACGATTCGCTGTATACCCAAAGATTCACAGCTCTAATTATATTATATTATATTATATATTATACACTAGTCAACATTTGAAGTGGATCAAAACCTTTCATCAAAGTTGTCCTAAAACCAACAACCAAAATGTGTTCTTGGCTTAGGACAACTTTGATGAACTCACACATACATTATCCTTTCACATACATACATTTCTACTCTCTCTCACACACATACATTCTCCTTTCACATACATACATTAGTACTCTCACACATACATTCTCCTTTCACATACATGCATTTCTACTGTCACACACATACATTATCCTTTCTATATATATATATATATATATATACATATACATACATTATATATATATGTATATATATGTATATGTATATACATATACATATATATATGTATATACATATATATGTATGTATATGTGTATATATATATATATATATATATATTCACACAATTACATTCTCCTTACACATGCAAACATTTCTACTCTCTCACACACATACATTCTCCTTTCACATACATATATTTTTGCTTTCACACACTTACATTCTCCTTTCACATACATACATTTCTACTCTCTCTCACACACATACATTCTCCTTTCACATACATACATTAGTACTCTCACACATACATTCTCCTTTCACATACATGCATTTCTACTGTCACACACATACATTATCCTTTCACATACATACATTTCTACCTTTTTTTTGGTATCCATTACTTCCTGTTTAAGCAGGAAGTCACTATCAGACCAGGAAATACATGTGCAAGACTTGCTCAGTTCTTCCT